CCCCCCTGAAATCATGCAAACTGAGCAAAATGTGAAATTATGCGATTCTGTTAATTTTAACGAAGAATGATAAAGGAAAAGAATTTTAAAAATTATGCAAAAATGATCAAATTTTGCTAAATTTTGCGGGGTGCATAAAACCACGGGGACAGTATTATGCTGTACTGAGCTGTGCGTGACCTAGGTTCCAATACCGCTGCTAGCCATCCTGGTAATTTTGGTAGGTGGCTGGGATCACCTGGGCAGATCGGCACGTATTATCTAATAGCCCTCTCGGAAATAGATGTAGGTGGGCGGTACGAATATGTTAACCACTTAATGGTGGCAAAGAGCGGATCGCTGGTTATAAAAAGGTTGACAGACACTGTAATTAATGCAGTTTTGAACAACAGTTGTTCCGGGAAGTTTTCAAGGCTCCCCAAAACACTTGGCTCGGTCTGATCGGAGATGGATAGTAACTCGAGAGGTCCCAGATCTGATATAACTCTACAATGTTTAAGGGGCTTTGAACTCAAACCATACCAAAACACATTTTATTTATGTCTGTCTACCAGTTTAGAAAGACTATAGTGTACAGAGAGGTAGACTTATTATTGTGTTATGCTTAGTTGTCCTCGTAGCTGCCCTGTGGCAGCAAGTACTATGTTATTTTGTGACTTTCTTGTTTTAGTGTAACAGTTATATTAGTATGCGTTGATAGTGTCGGTTGTCTAGTGGTTAGACTACGGGACTTGTAATCACAACATTGCGGATATTCGGGTGTTCAAAGCTCGGCTCAACACATTTGGTTCGGTCTTATCGGAGATGGACGTTTGATGTGGAGGTCCCGCCTCATAAATAACCGTACAGTTTTGCAAAGGGTGTTAGCTTAAACCTGTACAATTTCGCACCTTTCTTGTGTGTACTGTGTGACGTTGGTGCGACCTCTGACTTACTCTGTAATCATTACATGCTTTTGTAAACCAAATTTGCCCACATGGATCAATAGACGGGGCATTTTCCTATCATAAAAATACGTTGTTGTAATTTAGTAAAGCGGGATAGCTTCAATACGAAAGCAGTCTAATCACGTTTAGTCATCATCAGAGAAAAAAATAAATCAAATTTGGCCGTCGGGAGGGAATATGTAATTCGCCAAATGTGAAACGAAAGAAAATATTTTGAAGAGAAACAACAAAATATAGGATGACTATCTAGTGTATCTGGGTGTTCTTCCCAATACCTCATTTCTTTGTCTTTTGTATATGGTGAGGTGTA